GTTACGAGCTAACAGCTAGGAGCTAATACCTTGGAAGCTAATAGCTAGGAAGCTAGGAGCTAAAAGCTTGGAAGCTAATAGCTAGGAAGCTAGGAGCTAAAAGCTTGGAAGTTGATAGCTGGAAAGCTAGGAGCTAAAAGCTAGGAGCTAATAGCTAGCAAGCTAGGAGCTAAAACCTTGGAAGCTAATAGCTAGGAAGCTAGGAGCTAAAAGCTTGGAAGCTAATTGCTGGGAAGCTAGAAGCTAAAAGCTTGGAAGCTAATAGCTGGGAAGATAGAAGCTAAAAGCTTTGAAGCTAATAGCTAGTAAGTTATGAGCTAACAGCTAGGAGCTAATAGCTTGGAAGCTAATAGCTAGGACGCTAGGAGCTAAAAGCTTGGAAGCTGATAGCTGTGAAGCTAGGAGCTAAAAGCTTGAAAGATAATAGCTAGGAAGCTAGTAGCTAAAAGCTTGGAAGCTAATAGCTAGGAAGCTAGGAGCTAAAAGCTAGGAGCTAATAGCTAGCAAGCTAGGAGCTAAAACCTTGGAAGCTAATAGCTAGGAAGCTAGGAGCTAAAAGCTTGGAAGCTAATAGCTAGGGAGCTAGGAGCTAATTGCTAGGAAGCTAGGAGTTAATAGCTAGGAATTATAGCTAATAAGCTAGGAGCTAATAGCTAGGAAGTTAATAGCTAGGAGCTAATAGCTAGGAGCTAACAGCTAGGAGCTAACAGCTTGGAAGCTAATAGCTTAGAAGCTAAAAGCTAGGAAGCTAAGAGCTAACAGCTAAGAGCTAAAAGCTAGGAGCTAACAGCTTGGAAGCTAATAGCTTAGAAGCTAAAAGCTAGGAAGCTTAGAGCTAACAGCAAGGGGGCTAGGAGCTAATAGCTAGGAGCTAACAGCAAGGAAGCTAGGAGCTTCTACAGTTTGATCCACAGTTGATCAACAAAGGTTTAAAGTGCCGCGTTAGAAAAAGGCTGCGTCACGACTAAAGTAGAAAAATAGAGTCGTTGGTCTCTGAGGTTCCTGTGTGGTTTAGAGGAGCAGCCACACGCCGCCTCCAGAGGAGCGGGCTAAAAGGAGGTGGCCCTCCCTGCCATCAGATGGCGTAGTCCTCCTGGGCGGCGGGGCTGAAGGCGGAGCTCCGCAGGACGTCCAGGCAGTTGACCAGGATCAGTGTGCCGGTCAGGTGCTTCCAGCGTTTGGTGATTGGGTTCTTCATCTTGTCCAGACCCATGTGGAGCTCCTGGATCACGTCCCTGTAGCTGTCACCGATCTGAGCGGCCCATGTGACCAGGAAGTCATACGCCGGCTTCCACATGGCCTGTGAACATGAAGGTAGATTGAATCACATATTTCTAAGGATGCAGATTTTAGGGTGTGGATCATCAGCAGCTGCTTTTCTGAATTTACATCCATCGTCTCGATAGAACCGCCTCCAACTGCCTCCACTGCTCTCCTACAGCTGCTCCGTCTTCTGACATGAAGACCAGAACAGAGACCTGATTGATGATGATGATGATGAATCCCTGATCTGATTTATTCAATCTAAA